ATCATGACCGAGAATGGGTGAGTGAGCAGCGAATTAAAGTGGATGATATGAATGAAACCCAGAGAGCGGGGCGTTCTCCGAATGTGCGGTGCTTGATGAAAAAATTATAACAGGCTGTAAGGCAACCAAGAAATCGGAAAAAATAGCTGATAAGCACTGTGTAGGAATGGTGCGCAAACCATGCTTAAAATAGGCGAAGGCCTGCTCGAAATAAACGAGACATGCACCTTATATGGAAGCTACAAGAATTCACAAATGTGTTGCTGGATGTCCAAAACACCGTAAAAAATTGGATAGATTGTAGCAAAGGAGATCTGAAATGCTCGCGATGGAAGTTTTGCCCGAGCTGAAAGGGGCTAAAATAAAAAAATTGTAGTACGACCCTGAGATAGTTCGAACGAGGAAAAGGGTGGATAGAAACTAGTGAAGAAGGGAGGCAAGGTGTTCACAATGGGTGGGATGTGCCATATCGTTACCCCTGCCACTAAAAATTCAGACCCACACCCGTAAGGCTCCAGAGTGGTGAGCTCTGGAAGGGTGACTTGATAAGGCGGATCTAGATATTCCTAAATGTTCCTCGGTTCTCGACTTTCCAGGAACAGCCCAGAAACAGAGAAAATGAAGAAAGCGAGATAAAATTCAAAAAGGAAAATTGTGGTCTTGGGGAAGGACCAGGAAATGATCCCTTATATCTGCCGTAGCGCCATTCGAGGAAACGTACAAAAACTGTGGATGAACCGAGTGAAGCATCATGTACCACGCAGCCAGCGGGAGAAAATGGTTCTATTCAATTTGTTTTACGTTTTTCCAAGTTCCAGGGTTGTCAGAATACTTTACTGGTTACAAAATAGTTTACCTTTTCTAATAACGACAAAGGGAGGGATAGGTGATCAGTTAGTGATGAAACACACGACAAACAGGCGGTAGCAATGGGTTGAATGGTCTAGGATGAATCAAGGGCTCGCTACGGATGGAGATGCATAGACTGTGAAAGTTCTTACAACAACGAGCGACTGGATGATCGCATCCTGATCAATAATTACCAAATTATAATTAATTAAGAGAAGCTGAACATAATTAAAAGAGACTGCACGCCGTGAGAATTGACTTTATGAAAAGAGTAGAGTAATGCATACCTGACAGGTAGGCTTCAGAAAATCAGGAACTTGAATCGCCCAGTCGAGAACCATTTCCATTATTTGATTCGTGAAGTACCGATCAAGAATAGGCCCTATGGCAGGTTCCGGTTGTGCGTTCACTTCCATCATTAGCAACTGGCACATCCGGGTCAGTTGAGCCACAAGTTGCGTCATCTACAAAAGTGACAAGGAACTCTTGACATACAAAAGGTACCCGTCAAAACAGCCTATCCCCCCGCAAAAGACAAAATTTGAAAAGCGCAAAAAGGACAGCTAAGCAATCCGTCACCTCGTTATAAGTGATGTCATGCTCTGGATGATTCGCTTTCTTGTCGAGTATCTTTTCCGCCACCGTCCAACACTCTCCAAACTTCCGTTCCCATTCAGAAGGATCTGACGCGTATGCAACGCTCCAGTTCTCTGATACCGACTCTGAAGCGGCCATACTATCACATAAGAACCCTTGATGAAGTTAACTAATAGTGTAACTAACCCTTACGAGGTGACTCACTGATTGCCGATGAATTCGGCGACGGACTTGGTGAACCCAGTCGTGACAACCACCGTATCATTGAGTCTCACATGCAATAGAGCCTAACGCGACAAATAATTGAGAACTAAAAAAGAACCAGCCGCAATCAAAAAACCATGTAAAGATTAATGTGAAGTCGCAGAGCCTTGTCATATCAAAAGAATCCTTGGATTATTGATAAAATGATTTTATGAACAAGAAAGAATCAACACAAAGCTATCGGAAGAAAGTGTGTGAACAAACATACGAGCATGAAATGTAGGATTGCTACAGTAGAACGCCAAAAGGTGGAGAACTAATGGAGATCGTTATATTTCGAGTAAATTATTCAAAATATTCAACTTAGCAGGGTGATAGTATTTTGAAGTGGAATTCCGGAGTAAAACGATTCCGCCGTTACTTCGGACATCTTCTAGAGCGCATAAAGGAACATATGAGAGAGCTCGACCACAGGCTGTGTAGAACGAGAAGTCACCTCTCACTATCCGACCAATAACCAATCTGAACAGCTGAGAAATTAATCTTCAAAAGCGGTAAAAATAGAATGCTGTATGGGACGGATATTTACCACTCTATTTACCCTTCTACCACTTTTGGCTTGTTTTTTTTTTCGGATAATTGCTACTCTACGCCGCGAAATTTTCGCCCCAGGCGGGACTGAAACCCGACCCCTTTGCTTAGCGAGCAAGTACAAGTTACTACCAGAGCACCGATTCGCTCTAA